ACCGGATATAGATCTTCTATCATCTAGAGACCCAGCCCAATCCGCATCTGTTTAGGCCTCTATTCGGAGGTGACCATGTTTAAAGAAAAGCAAGCCTTTCCCTGGAGCAGACTTCAAATACTGCAAAATATGGAAGACAGCTTGCATATGAGAGTCTCGGGGATCATGTATAAACTGACTCACTAAGCTCACTGGATAAGCTATGTCTGGTCTAGTGTGAGAGAGATAAATAAGCCTTCCAACCAGCCTATGGAAACTCTCCTTATCAACTGACTCTTCAACCCCTGTTTGTAGCTTGTGATTGCACTCAATGGGTGATCCTGTTGGTTTGCAACTAATCATACTAGTTTCTTTTAAGAGATCCAGAATGTACTTTATTTGAGAAATGAAGATTCCTCTTTTTGATCTACCAACCTCAATTCCCAAGAAGTACTATAATTTTCCTAGATCCTTGATCTCAAATTTTGCCACAATTCCTTCAATCGGGTTAATTTCTCTTTGTCATCTCCTTTCATTACTATGTCATCAACATAAACTATGAGAAGAGTGAGTTTACTGCTTTGATGTCTAATAACGAGAGTGTGATCAGCATTGCTTTGTTGGTAAGCAAAAGAGATCATTGCTTTGCAGAATCTGTCAAACCAGGCTCTAGGAGATTGCTTCAATCCGTACAAATCTTTCTTCAATTTGCACACCTTTCCTTGATTCTGTTCAGTATCAAATCCAGGAGGAATCTCCATATGAACCTCTTCTTCTAAGTCTCCATGAAGAAATGCATTCTTCATATTAAACTGTTGTAAGTCCCAATCAAGATTAGCTGCACAAGACAAAAGAATTCTGATAGTGTTCATTTTAGCAATAGGGGCAAATGTCTCTTGATAATCCACTCCATAAGCTTGAGTGAATCCTTTAGCCACCAATCTTGCTTTGAATCTTTCAGTTGAGCTGTCAGCTTTGTGCTTCACAGTGAAACCCATTTGCAACCAACCAACTTCTTGTCTGGTGGTGAAGTGACAAGTTCCCATGTTTTAGTTTTTGACAAGGTCTTCATTTTTTCATTCATAGCTTGCTTCTATTTAGGATCTGCAAAAGCTTCTCTCCAATTCTAGGGAATTGACACAGAAGAAATAGACAAGGCAAAGGCTTTATAGGAGGGAGACAAAGAATTATAGGAGACAAAATTAGATAAAGGATGTTTGGTGGTGCAGGATCTGACTGCTTTTCTATGAGCAATAGGTAAATTTAACTCATTAGGAAATGTACATAACTCACTAATATAAGAAGGTTCAGCTTCGGCAGATTGCATGATGACTTCTTCTACACTATTTCTCCTTGAGTAAGTTTTCAAATCAGGCCTATCCAAACGCCCAATAGTCTCCCCCGAATTCTTTCTCCAATTTCATTTTCCCCAGTGGTAGTGGTAATGGTTTCAACAGTAGAACTTGGGAATCATCTCTTCCTCCTTATAGCTCTCCCCCTAAAGAGGTGATGGTGTAATGCTGAAATAGGGCTCAGATTTTCGAAAGGTAATATCCATGCTGACGAAGGATCTTTTGGAGGGAGGATGATAGCATTTGCACCCTTTCTGTGTTGGAGAATACCCAATAAAGACACACGTAAGAGCTCTTGGATCAAGTTTCCCAGAATTTCTAGTGTGAACAAAGCAGACACACCCAAATACCTTCGGAGGAACAATATAATCATTCTTACCTTTTAAAGCTTGCAAAGGACTTTGGAAATTGAGAGTTTTAAATGGCATTCTATTGATGAGATACGCAGCTACTAGAATGGTATCCACCCAGTAAGGCTTTGGTAGATTCATGGTAAACATAAGAGATCTAGTCACTTCTAACAAATGCCTATTTTTTCTTTCAGCAACCCTATTTTGTGCACTAGTATAAGGATAACTGGTTTGATGAATTATCCCATAAGACTCCAAATAAGCCCCAAAAGTTTTATCCATGTATTCTGTGCCATTATTAGTTTGTAAGATTTTTATCTTAGCCTCAAATTGAGTACTAATCAGCTTATGAAAAAACTAAAAATAGGAGAAAACTAATCATCCTAGTGCAACAATCAATAAAGATAACAAACCATCGTATACCAGACAAAGAAACTGTTTGAGTGGGACCTCATACATCAGAATGAATAGTCGAAAAAATATGTTGTATTTTTATTATACTCAAAAGATTAGAGTTTCTAATATGCTTTGCAAATTTACAAGCATCACAAAACAAAGATTCAAACTCGGTTCTAGAAAACAAACTAGGATATAACTTCTTTAAAGCAAAAAATGATGGGTGCCCCAACCGTCTATGCCACTGTATTATTTCTTGGTTGACATCCTTATTTCCTCCAAAATAGGCCTGAACAAAGTCTCGAATTCCATCAATCTAATATAAGTCATCATACAATCTACCACTGCCAATCCTCTTTCGTATTTGAAGATCCTGGAAAACACAATATCAGGAAAGAACTCGACACTACAATTTAATTTGTTGGTGATGGCGCTAATAGATAACAGGTTAACAGGAAACTCAGGTACATGGAGGACAAATGATAATGTAATATTAGGTGTACGAACAACAGAACCTATTCCAGAGATATGAGTTAGGGAGCCATTAGCTATTCTGACATAATCCCCTTTCGGACTAGGAGAGTAGTTTTGAAAGCCTTTAGAGGAGCATGTCATGTGTCTATTCGCACCAGAATCAATAAACCAAGAATTAAGGTGAGCATTAAAGGCAATGTTGATTGGAAGTAGCAACATTAGAAGAGTCAAGTTTATTCCGTAGACGGCGAAGATGCTGAACTTCATCCAAAGACAATGCTTCTCCAGAAGCAGTTTCTTTGGATGTCTCCATATTTTCCGCAATATTAGCCTGACCCCTTGATGGACCTACACGTTTTCGTCCACGACCTCTAGTTGGTCTACCATGTAGTTTCCAACATGTCTCCTTTGTATGCCTTGGCTTTCCACGGTAATCACAATGCATGTAATCTTTATCATAAGAGAATGCCTTTGGTTGCTCGTGAGACACAGTTAACCCAGACTTCTCCATTGGTACTGAATAAAGCATGACTCCTCGTCGGCTCTCTTCCTGTTGAACATAAGAATATGCATCCTCAAGCGAAGGAAAATGAACTTTACCAAGAACTTGAACCCTTATATGATCATATTCTTGGTTCAAACCGAAAATCATAGACCCTTTCCTTTTCAACCAATTGTTGAAAGAGCACTACATCATCAATACACTTTGCCTGGAGATCCTGATAATAGTCAATCTCCTACCACAACCCACTTAACTCGGAATAGTAATCAGTGATAGTCAATTCACCTTGCTTAGCTGCATGAATTTTATTTCGAATTTCAAAACTCTGGGCATCATTTCCCTTGCAAGAGTAAGTGCGCATTAGTTGAATTCCAGATTATTTTCAGCAATATCAAGCAATAAATACTGTTTAGAAATTCGAGGGTGCATTGTGTTCAACAACCATGTCATAACAAGGGAATTATCAGAATCCCATTGGCTATAACTAGCATCAGTCACAACAAGTGCTTTCTTTTCTCCAGTAATATAACCAAGCAGCTTTCTAGACTTAATAAAAAGCAAACAAGATCTTGACCAAGCAAGATATGTACCAACCCCTTCCAGTTTTACCACACTAATTTGTGAAATACCATGTGAAATAGTATTGTCTACAAAATTGGTAACTACTGCCTTTGAGTCTCCCATAATTTGAAAAAATAACAGTTTAAGCAAAAAAAAAATCTTTTCTGCAAAATCAAGGAGTAGTGATCCTGATTACTCTTCAGAGAAGAAAAATGGGGAGAGCTGGCTGAAAAAAATTGGTTCGAATATGTTGGAACCGTACCTCTGCAGCTCCAAAATTGATGAAACTGATAAGGTAGGCTTGAAATGTGTCAGCGACACCCAGGGAGAAAAAATCGACCTCTTTGATACAAAAGGAACCCTAGCGTTGCAGAGGGTGATAACTCACCTCAAAAAGGCAACAATGGCTCTGATACCATGTTGAATTTGAGAAGAAGAAAAGGCTTCTTTGTATATTTCAATATCTGTACAACCTATGGACTAGGATATTTATGCAATTAGTCCTATCTCTAATTTAGTAAAGACAATCAAAGACAATAATGCTAGTTACAATCAAATAAATAAGATCCCTATAATTAAGCTAATCAAATCACTACAATTAAGCTAATCAAATATTCAATACCTTCTTAGCATGTTAACAACTCCTAGTATTACCCCAAAAGTAAGGGTTATAACATCGGCCCATACCTCCAATGTACGATTCGAAAGTGACTCCATAAGTCGGGAAATTTCGCCAAAACTTATTCTTTTCGATTCAATTAACTTCTACCTCTTCCAACATATACCTAACACTTATTAAACATGGTATAAACACTTATAATCCTCAAAGATACTCTTACCCTTCGAGCTCACATCGATTACCTTATGTCGCAACTTGACGTACGAAAATACGTGATGTAACAGATATCATTTATTTTGGGACAAGCTAAAATGGAAAGTGTCTCACATAAATTGGGATTGAGGGGTTACTACTTCCCTTTTCTTGTCACCATAAGTTTCCAATTAGACTTGGAGACATTAACAAGAAGCCGGGCATTTGTAATTTCCCTGTATTTCAGGAGAAACATTAGTGTCATTATGCTTTAATTTCTCAATTATTTAAATCTTATGCACCATGTTGTATGTTCCCTCAGTATTTAAATCTTTCAACAGTCAGAGAAGTCAATATTCAGGCAAAGTACGTCATATTTTCTTCTTGCAGACTATCTTCATTCTTATGTAGGCCTTGCGGCCGCTTAAAGTCTGTTTTAATGTGTTGTTCCTTGCTTCACTCAAGAAGATGCTTATTATCTTTTCTCTTTTGATAAGTATTGAACAAAATATAGTTCCATGAATTGTTTTTGGATTGGATGTCTAACTTTGCCTTATTTCCACGTTTGCATGCAGAAATGCTTTCAAACATGAATTAACTTTGCTAGAAAAAGTACGGCATCCAAATGTTGTTCAGTTTGTTGGAGCAGTCACACAAAATATACCAATGATGATAGTCTCTGAGTATCATCCAAGGGTAGGCTCTATCAATCACTTAACACTGACCTATCACCTAACAACTTTGCTTATTCACTTCTTTTATCAATTCAATTTATGTCAATATTGCTTATTATATTGCACACCAACATTGGCTAAATTTTTAGCTTGAGTTGGCAACAGTTTCAATTTCCGTGTTGTGGAGATCTTGATGCTTATGAATTTTGTATGCCAATAATCTCAATTTTTATGTTAGCCTTGCAATTATGACAATTGGCATTACATGCGTTATTTGTGACTTTTCAGGGTGACCTAGGTAGCTATCTGCAAAAGAAGGGACGTCTATCTCCTTCTAAGGGGCTACGATTTACTCTTGATGTTGCTAGGTAAGTCAATCTTTGATTTGTCATACAAAGTGAATTGATCTCTCATGCTTGAATCAGTCTTTTGGCAATTCCTTTACTCTTTGGCAAGTTGTGATTTTTCATTTACTTATTTTATCTCAACGTGTCTATATTGTGCCATGTTGGTCGATTTTCAGGGGTATGAACTACCTTCACGAATGCAAACCAGACTCAATTATCCATTGTAATCTAAAGCCAAAGTAAGGCAACTAAATGCTTTAGTTGTCTAAGGCTGTTAGCTGATCATTTTCACTGTACTCATTGGGATTTCCTATTGTTTTTAATATTCGAAATTTGGTAAGGTGCCAGAAATATTTTGCTGGACAGTGGAGGTCTCCTGAAAGTTGCAGGATTCGGTCTGGTTAGATTGTCAAAAATTTCACCTGACAAAGCAAAGTTGGTGCAGCCGGAGGCTGTTGACCGTTCAAGTAAGTTTTTCAAATTTCAAGTATATAAACATTAAATTATAATATTTCTAAATATGGAGAAAACATTCTTGTTTGATAGTAAGTTTTGAGAAGTTGGTGCAGCCGGAGGCTGTTGACCGTTCAAGTAAGTTTTTCAAATTTCAAGTATATAAACATTAAATTATAATATTTCTAAATATGGAGAAAACATTCTTGTTTGATGGTAAGTTTTGATTAATCAGAAACTTTGGTTATGAATTGGAGCATATTGTTTAGCATAAAAGAATCACCTTTGATTGAACCTGCTGTGTTTCTGTTGATTACTTTACTCGTCATTTGTTTGTCACTTATAGGTCCCTATGTGGCACCTGAGATTTATAAAGATGAAATATTTGACCGGAATGTGGACATATATTCATTTGGCATTGTACTCTACGAGGTATGATTTCCTTTTATCAGATACTTCAATTCATGCTATGGCTTAATTTGGAAATAGTGTCCCATTTAGGTGCAGCGCTTACTGATACTTGGATGATCTTGATTTATTGAGAATACAATTCTATCCTCTATTTATCCTGATATCAGGCTATCAGCCTTCTGGAACTGTGATACTGCTTATGGTTATTTCCTTTTTGCTGCTTCACATTCTATTTCACCAAGAATTTTATTTTACTTTGTTTGGCTCAGATGATGTGTGACAGAGGTTTATGCACGGATTGCAAGGTCATCCCGAGTGAGAATCTTACGACCCAACATAGGCTTTTGGTTATGGACGTAGAGATCAGGTGGAAGAGGAGGAAGAGGGCTATGCCTGGTCTATCCAGGATCCGGTGGGGTGCATTGATTAAGGGCAAAGCCCAGGAGTTGGGGGAGAAGTTGCTGGCTATGGGGGCGGAGAAGTTGCTGGCTATGGGGGCTTGGAGGAGTAGCGGGGACGCGAGTTGTATGTGGATTACGACAACGAATTGTATTAGAGAGGCGGCGAGAGATGTGTTAGGGGTCTCGAAGGGTTTTTCTGGTGGCCACAAAAGAGACTGGTGGTGGAACGAAGAGGTTCAAGGAAAAGTGGAAGCTAAGAAAGGGGCGTATTTAAAGCTAGTGGAGAGCATAGACGAGGAGCAGAAGAGAGCTAACATGGAGGGGTATAAGAAGGCTAGGAAGGAGGCAAAGTTAGCGGTTACGGCAGCTAAGTCCGCGGCGTTTGGTCATTTATATGAGGAAATTGGGGATAAAGGCGGGACAAGAAGTTGTATAGGCTGGCGAAGGTTAGAGAGAGGAAGGCCTGAGATCTGGACCAAGTGAGGTGCATAAAAGACGAGGAGGGTAGAGTTTTGTTGGAGGGGGCATAGATTAGGCAGAGATGACAGTCGTACTTCCATAAACTCTTGAATGAGGAGGGGGATAGGAGCATTGTGCTGGGTAAGTTGGAGTACTCAGAGCGTCATCGTAAGTTTGGGTACTGTAGACGCATACGAGTGGGGGAGGTTGAAGGGGCTATGCGTAGGATGTGTAGAGGTAGAGCGACCGGGCCAGACGAGATTCCTGTGGAATTTTGGAAGAGCGCGGGTAAGGCGGGCCTGGAATGGCTATCTAGGTTGTTTAACGTCATTTTTAGGATGAAGAAGATACCTGACGAGTGGAAGCGGAGTACGATGATTCCATTGTACAAAAACAAGGGGATATCCAAAACTGCAACAACTATAGGGGTATCAAGTTGTTAAGCCATACGATGAAAGTTTGGGAGAGGGTGATTGAAGGGAGGATGAGGAGGAGTGTGTCCATTTCCGAGAACCAGTTTGGTTTCATGCCGGGATGGTCGACTACTGAAGCCATCCACATTGTGAGGAGATTGGTGGAGCAGTATAGGGCGGTCAAGAAGGATTTGCATATGGTGTTCATTGACCTACAGAAAGCTTATGACAAAGTCCCGAGAGTGGTCCTATGGAGATGTTTGGAGGCTAAAAGAGTGCCTGTAGCGTATATTAGAGTGATCTAGGACATGTATGATGGAGCTAAGACACGGGTTAGGACAGCAGGAGGAGACTATGAGTACTTCCCGGTTGAGATGGGGCTGCATCAGGGATCAACACTTAGCCCGTTTTTGTTTTCCTTGGCAATGGACGCATTGACGCGACACATTCAAGGGGAGGTGCCTTGGTGCATGGTATTTGCAGATGACATAGTCCTGATTGATAAGACGCACGGTGGTGTTAACGAGAGGCTGGAGGTCTGGAGACATACCCTGGAGTCTAAGGGTTTCAAGTTGAGCAGGACCAAGACAGAATACTTAGAGTGTAAGTTCAACAGTGTTACCCAGGAAGCGGACGAGGATGTGAGGCTTGATACACAAGTCATCTAGGAGAGAGAGTTTCAAGTATCTGGGGTCTATAATTCAGAATGATGGGGAGATTAATGAGGATGTCACACATCGTATCGGGGCAGGGTGGATGAAGTGGAGCCTCGCTTCCGGTGTCTTGTGTGATAAGAATGTGCCGTTGAGACTTATTGGTAAGTTCTACAAAGTAGTGGTTAGACCGACTATGTTGTATGGGGCAGAGTGTTGGCCAGTCAAGAACTCCCATGTCCAACAGATGAAAGTAGCTGAAATGAGGATATTGAGATGGATGTGAGGGCATACTAGGTTAGATAGAATTAGGAATGAAGTTATTTGGGACAAGGTGAAAGTGACTCCTGTGGAGGAAAAGATACGAGAGGCGAGGCTGAGATGGTTCGGGCATGTTAAGAGGAGAAGCACAGATGCTCCCCAGTCAGGAGGTGTGAAAGGTTGGCCTTGGGCGGTAAGAGCAAGGGTAGAGGTAGACCAAAGAAGTCTTGGGAGAGGTGATCAGGCGGGACATGGCGCAGCTTGAGCTAACCGAGGACATGACCCTGGATAGGAGGGTGTGGAGGTTGAGTATTAGGGTAGAAGGTTTGTAGGTAATCGTGCGTTTCCCTTTCTCTTCATTAGTTTGCAAGTGTTAGTGTTAGTATGGTACCCTTTTATCATGAGTTTGCTATTTTCGCATATCTTGTTTTGTTATTACTTGTCACCAGTACTTTCTTAGTTTGCTATCAGTTCTCCTTTCATATTCTCCATTGCTATCAGACCTCAGATTTAGTTTCTCTAAATAGATTGTCTTGCTATTACTTGCTATCGGTACTTCTTTCATATTCTTTATTGCTATCTTCAATTTAGTTTCCTAATATATTATCTTGCTATGAATTGCTATCAACGCTTCTTCCATCTTCTTTAGCCGAGAGTTTATCGAAAACAGTCTCTCTGCCCTCCCAGGGTAGGGGTAAGACTGTGTACATACTACCTTCCCCAGACCCTACTTGTGGGATTTTCACTGGGTTGTTGTTGTTGTTGTTGTTGGCTCAGATGATGGAGGGAACACCACCTTTTCATACCAAGTCTCCTCAAGAGGCCACTAGACTGATGTGCTTTGAAGGCCAAAGACCAGCATTCAAATCGAAATCCAAATATCCTCCAGAGCTTAGAGAGTAAGTCCAACTATTTATTGTTTTTGTTATCATCACTTGGGGTATAATCACATGTTGTGCAGTTCATATGAGCTTATATATTAGCAACATATTATTCCAGTTTAACATGGTCTTCTGTTCTGTACCGCTAGCCATCGAAGTGTATCATGAATTCTTTTTGAAGGGCGTCAGAAAAAATTTCCTTTCTGCTGCTTTGGTTTTCTAAAAAGAACGTGTATGTTTCATTTTCTTCAGTGTCACGATTCAAAATCCCACCAAGTCATGCTAACACCTAACCCAACCTACTAAGTAAGCCAACTAACATACATCACAATTCGAACTGGGAATCATCAAATAGATAGTAATAAGAATGCGAAAATCAACACAACTATCCCCACGAACTGATTGAACAAGTCATGAGCCACTAAAATTTAGATTTCCAACGCTGATATGAAGAAATACAACATCTGTTTGAATATAAATAAATAGAAATACAGAATTCTAGGCTACCACGAACAAATGGCAGCTAATAACTGGAATGCTGATGTCATCAATGCTCATCCTCGAACGCTGCAAGCTCCAAAATCTACACGCAAGGTGCAGAAGTGTAGTATGAGTACAACCGACCCTATATACTCAGTAAGTATTAAGACTAACCTCAACGAAGTAGTGGCGAGATTTAGTCAAAAGATACTCACTTTATATAACCCGTGCAGCTCATAAGCATATACAATAACAGTAAGACAATCAAGAAATAACCAAGGAACAACAGGTATTAATAATAAAGGTGCACAAGCGAAGAAAGAGATAATAAGCATATTTTTCCAATTGAATGGGTCAAAGCATATACATATTCACCAAATTTACATACAAAGAAGATATGCACCAAGTAGCATTAGCTCGAATATTCCTACATGAATATAGAATGTCTATACATGATAAAGATCCAATTCCTTATCAATTACCAATTAGCATTTATTCTTATGCTTCTACATGTGTCTAAAATGTCTATGCATGATGAAGACTCAACATTTACATTCATATCCTTTTTGCACTCTCATCCGGTACAAGATCTACGTACCCAACTCTGCCAATGAATCATATTCATGTATTAAATGCACCAAATATCATATGTAGATGGCATACGTGAGTATGATATGAAACTATGCATGAACACACACCCCCAGCACAACCCCTGTGTGCCTGACACAAGATCCATGTGTCCAATACCAAGCACCAATCCAGTGCCTACGCTCACAGGGCCCAAAGTAATATGGGTAATCACCAGGGATAGTACCATATCCAAGCGGCGATACAGGAACCCACCGAATCACATCAATATCAATATCATAACAATTCACACGGCAGAAACCTCGTGGCACAATATTCATCTCAATATAAATCCGCTCATAATGTCCCAATGTGCCTTAATATCATCAATGCATATTAAGATTTCCATTTCTAATGATGTATGCATATGTCTTAGAGATGATCAATAAAATGTACTAGGACATGATAAATAAAGATGCAGGGATATATGCAAGTACTCATGAGATGATCCCTAAGTATGATATATGCTTGTGTATAACGTATGACTAAAGCTTCAACATGTAATTCATCATTCAATATCCATCAACTCCAAATAAAGCATCAAACGCCTAGACATGGTCTCTAACCAAGATAATAAAGTTCAAGTAGTCATACAATAATTTAAGGCATATCCCAAGAATATTAGATGTAGATGTGTGTTCATAATAATAAGTATGACTACGGCTAAATCAAATATATCAGCAATCTTAAGGATAGCCCATCATGCTCAAATAAGGTATCATTAACCTAAACATTGTCTCTAGCATGATTTATTGTGTTCACGTAGTCATTCAATCAATTAAAGCACATAACAAGTAGAACACACAACCAAACAAGGCATAAAGAAGCCAAAAAATCCGCCCAGAACATGATATTACCTCGGTATCTGCATATAGCTCGTCACCTTCCCCAAGCATGAAGCATATAGAATTATTTTAGAAAATATTCCCTAAGCTAAGATTAGGCAAGATACTTACCTCCTTCCAAAACAACTTCAACTCTCCAACAAATACTTTCCTTTGTTATTGGGCTCCAAATGTCTCAAATCTAGTCAATCAACACTTAAGGAAGTCAAATAGTACCTTAGGAATCAATCCCAATCCAAAAGGCTCCAATCTTTAATGAATTTAGAAAAAGTCAACAAAAGTCAACCCGGGCCCTGTTCATCAACACCCAAAATTGGAATCGGATCCCGACTGCCCATGAGTCATGGAACCCAAATCTATAATCAAAATTCCATCAAATTTTGATGTCATTAGCATGCTTAAATCAACAATTCTCTATTTCTAGGTTTTCTTCCATTTCTTATTTGATTTCTCCCAAATCCTTGATTTCATGTTAAAATTAATGGTAGATCCTTAACTTGATGATAAAAGTGAATTAGAATCACTTACTCCATCATGGCTGATGAAGAAGTTGGTCAAAACCCCTCAAAACCGAGCTCCCATTCTCCAAAATAGGAGAAAATGCCAAAAACACGAAATGGGCTCTATTTATACTGTGAAGAACCATCCTGAGGTAAAAATACACTGCCACGGCGCCCCCCCATGTCGCGGTAGTGCTGCAACCTGCAACACTCTGCTGACCAAAAACAACTCTGCCACCCTTCAGTAAAATGATTATAGCTTCGTGCTCATATGTAAGAATGACGAGCGGCTTGAACCACAAGAAACTAGACTTAAAGTGCTACAATCTCATCAAAACTTCATCCCAATTTTTTTTTATAGATTGGGAGATATGCACTTTTGAAGTCAAGCCAACTGCAGAAAAGCCCTGTTTCAGCAACTCAATTCTTCCAAAACTTGCCCCAAATGCGCCGAGACTTACCCAAGCCTCTCAGGACTGATCCAATCATTCCTACAAACCCAAATATCCTATATGGACTTGTCCAAATGCTCAAAATATCCACGGGAACATCACAACAAAGAATTGAGGCTCAAACTGAATAGAATTTCTCTTAAATTCTTAAATCTTCATTCTTTCAAAAGAATGTCCGAATCACACTTTGACACTTCATCTTACTTCCAAACTTTGCACTCAAGTTCAATTCAACTATATAGACCTATCCAAAGTCTCGGAACACAAATCGAAGTCTAATAACATCAAAGTCAATTTTTGGTCAAAGTTATGAACTCTTAAGTTCTTCAAATTGCCAACTTTTGGCAAATAATGTCGAATTCTTCTAGGAACCTCCAAAATAAAATCCAAACATATGTATAAGTCCAAAATCATCATACGAACCTATCGGAACCATCAAAACTCAATTCCGAGTCCGTTTACCCAAAAGTCAAACCTTGGTCAACTCTCTTAACTTAAAGCTTCCATTTAGGAACTAAGTGTTCCAAATCACTCCCAAACCTCTTTGGACCAAAATTACCCATACCCGCAAGTCATAAAACATTAAATGGACCTACGGAAGTCACAAATCACGAAACGAGATGCTAGAACTCAAAACGACCGGTTGGGTCGTTATATTCAGCCATTGATTTTTTCTTGGCTCAGTGATTTAGTACAAACTCCAGCCCGGTGCAAGTGCAACTAGCATGTTGTTGAGCTCATGCCTTTTCCTACAATTTCTTGTACTCTTCCTGTCAGACCTTCCCAGATCTTGAGCGTTTAGGTGAAACGCTCATCTTTTGATGTCCATCTATGACAAGATTAAATAAATGAGACTTTGTTGTGCGCATGACCTCATTAATTTCTCTTTAATATGCTTAACTTTAAAGAGTACCAGAATAAGCTTTTGGATAATTAACATTGGCTTATGGGCATTTCAATCCCTACATACTCTCAGACCAGTGCACTACCTCCATGCCCCTTAAGCAGGGAGAGATGGTTTCTTGCAGTGCACTTATTGGTATTAGGCTTATTAGATTTGGCGTGCAGTCAGTCCGATACTTGTGTTCCCTCTTGACTTCTGCTCAATGTATTGTATTTCTAGGTTGATTGAAGAATGTTGGGATCCAGAAGCTTTTGTACGGCCAACGTTTTCTGAGATCATTGTGCGGATGAATAAAATTGTTGCTAACAGCTCAAAACAAGGATGGTTGAAAGATACTTTTAAGCTTCCTTGGTAATGGTTCTGTTGCCTATTCATTATATATCCTAGAAATTGAACATTTATTTATATTATGAAAAAGAGCTTTGAACTAAGAGGAAAAAAAGGTCAGAGTTCTTGACAATTTTGCGAAACTCGGGATTGTGACTACATAATGTGTTAGAAGTGTAGGATTGCTAAGACTCTCTCTCTCTCTCTCTCTCTCTCTCTCTCTCTCACACACACACACACACACACACACGTAGGCATGTGTGCAACACAGATTCACACTCAATTGATTTTGTCAATATCTACGAAAAAAATAACTGACTTGATTAACAATTTAAAGGGGAAGTGAGTTAATAGCCGCTCAGATGATAAAACAGAGCAAAAGCACACTCATGTGATGTAATTATAAGCTTGATGTACTGTTATTCAAGAGCTTATCGATGGATTTAGAAACCCCTACATTTTGAAGTGTTGCTCTATCAAAGAGTTTCAATTTTACCGGCATCTGTGGCCTAGTGGTCAATGAAGTGGGTTAAGAATTATGAGGTCTCAGGTTCAAATTCCAACGGAGGCAAAATACTAGTATGTGATTTCTTACAATCTGTCCAAGCCTTGGTGGACAGAGTTAGCTGGTCTTGTTGCTGGTGGGAGGTATCAGATATTCCATAAAACTAATCGAGGTGCAAGCAAGTTGGCCTGGACACCACAGTTAGAAAAAAAAAAGAGTTCCAATTTTACCAAGGTAACCAAATGTGTCAGTCATTCTAGCGTCATGTTGTTAGGTGTCAATGGTGCTGAAAATATATTCAGGTGGTGGCCAGGTCAAATTTGTAAACCAGATTTCTTGTTAATTTTTTCACGTTCTTGTTAACTTTCTTTTCTCCCCATTAATATCAACTACGTGTGACGAGCCAATAAAAATACTTTACAATATTGGTTTGCCATTGCAAGGAATATTTGCAAAATGAATTCAAATATGTGTTGGTCTATGCTGCTAATACTGATTCTCTTCCTTACCAAATTCAACACATCTTCGGTGCAGGTTATAAGCGTGCATACAAAGTGCAAAGACGCAGAAAAAAATGAAGCCAATTGAGCTTATCAGCGGAAGATTCTCGTGGAGCTTTCCACTCAAAATTGATCGCGCAGAAACATATAAACCTAATAAGCAACCTTCTATTCGCGTGATTCCCTGAAAGCTTTATATTGTGGTTAACCAAATAAAAGGCAGATTTGCAGGGTAAAGGAAATGGGGTTACCATTAAATCTTGGCTCTCCCGTGTTGTCCTGTTCTCAGTAAGTTTGAACTCCACTATATATATGTGAAGCATCTTTGTTTAATCTATAGTATTTGAACATGGTGTGAACCAAGTATATTTTGCTTTACGAGGGGAAAACAAAGGTTATATAAGAAAAACTGGATACTACTGCATATCCATCAATTTCTATTCTTCTTATTTTCCTTTTCTTGTTTGATTTTAAAGAACACTACCATTCCATTCTCTTCTTGCGGTTCCATTCCTTTCTTCCTGAACAAATTGTTAACACATTCAATTTCATAAGATAAATGTAGCCGTTTACCTGGAACTATCTTCTTTCAATTAACAATTGCCTTCCGTTAGAAGATTGTAACAAAATGAAATTAATAAAGGAAAAAGGAAATCAAAATGAATCGCCATGGACGAATAAAAATGAAACAGCTGCTTGACCGTTCCCTATATATTGTTACCATTTCCGAGTACACTTGATACCTCATTAATTCCCAAACGTTCTCAAAGTAGAATCAATATACTAGTCATGACTATGTGGATTCAACTAAGTGAAACCCTCACAAGGATTTATGTACTACAAAGAACAGACAAGCCCTTATTTTATGCCAGCAATAGAATCCCAAACTTAGGGAATTATTAATCTTGAAGGGAAGGTTGAATGAACATAACATACTATACTATAAGATAAGCTTTGATAGAATTGCGATCTATTGCTAGAAACTAGCAATTCAAAGTATAAAGTAGGTTAGATGCAAGAAAACTTTGAAACAAAGTCCTCAATGTTTTTGTCAGAACTACCACATTCAGTGACTGCTGATTCCTTCCACTGAGTAACATTGTTTTTTATCTTCTTTCTGTCCCCCTCTATGACTTCTTTTACACAAGTTTCAATTTCTTCATTTGTGGCAATTCTCTTCTCATTAAGTCCAACTTTCCACACAATCTGCCATAAACTTGGTGTTCGTCTTCTGATCAACCCATACAGGCATAGCTATTATTGGCACTCCCAAACACAATGTCGAATTCCATCCATAATGATTCATGAAACATGATATAGCTCTATGTGATAGTAAGTACCTCCAGTTGGAGACATCAACTCAAAACTGAACCTTCCTCAGATGTTTTTTAGATTCTTCAGAATCTCTCACCACCAACAAAAATGACAATTGCTTTGTGCTAGACCCCATGCTAATTGTTCTTCTCCAAGTACGGCACTACTGCCAAATGATACATAGATGACAGATGAACTATCTTTTGTGTTTAACCAATTCATGCAAGTTTCACTCTGTGGCTTGAAGAGATTAATCCGATCATTTTCTTCTGATATCTCATCAACTGACGAATGTAGTGATGGAACCAAAGGTCCAATGGTCATAATAACTGGCCATTGCCTTGCCATCCACTTGATTGCCTCTCTCTCTCTCTCTCTCTCTCTCTCTCTCTCTCTCTCTCTCAGTGGGAACCCCAAAACTAAAAAGTTAAATTATCAAAATATCCTTCTAAATAATTATATACTAATATTATTTATATAAAAAGTAATATTTAAAGGAAAAGAAGGTAACCAATTAGACATGTCTATTTCTAAAAGTTGTGATGCTCCGGTGATAACTAACCTTTTGACACTTAGTTTTAAGGGAATCTTACGGAAATGTCCCAATAAGTCCTAACTTACCAATTTCTAGCTATTAATCATAGACTTACCAAAATTATCCAAGCACATATAAAAATTGAAAACCCAAATAAATAAGGATTCTTTCTCTCCAAGCTCGTCGCGGTACCGACTTTTTGGGATGTACAATGCGTCGGAAAGTTGGAAGAATAATTTTGTAGAACATGGCATTTCTGCGGTCCACTATGCGACCGCAGAATCACTTCGCGGACCACAGATCGGCCGCATAATGCCACAAAACCAAAACAAAACTTAAGGATATTTTGTGGTCAATTGTGCGACCGCATAACTATTTTCCGGAGGGGAACATTTGTGGTGCATTATGCGACCGCATAACTGGTCTGCGGACCGCAAACCTGACCCGAGCAACCCGGTTTTGAGACCATTTTCGCGGCCCTCCTTTTGCGGACCGGTCTGCGATAGCAGACCCGGTTTCGTAGGCTTGAGTTTGAGAAAATTGTACCCGATCCCATTTTTATAAAACAACTTAGGGGATCATTTGGGCTGGTTCAAACTGCTATTTTAGAGAGAGGAAAGTGCTCTAGAGTGAGAAAAATCCCCAAGCATCTTGTTCATCAATCCTTGCTCTAGCTTTAAAATTCAACAAGGAAAGCTCATAAGGTCTTCATCTAAGAGGTAAGGTTTCACACCCTAGTCTTCAATTTCGAGTTTGGGCAGAAATTGAATAATGGGGAGTGTGATTCTTGGGTACGAGAGTTGTTATTTATGCATGCATGTACCAATGAGGATGGTGGGGAGGTCATTGAGTAATATGAGTAAACTCTTGGTATTGAATTGGTTGTGGGGTAAAGAAAATCTTGTAGAAGAATCTTGTAGTCAAATTTGCACACATAATGTTTGATAAAATGCTCAAATGAGCTGAACCTATAAACTTCTTCCTAATTATGGTTCAATTTTGTTATGTCTTTAAATAGATTGAAGTTGCTAGGATTTTCGGACATTTTAGTAATTTAAGGAAAGCTCAAAGTGAGGTATGTTGGCTAAACTTCTCTTGTAGAATCGAATTCCACGATGTACTCGTAAGTCTCAAATGTGATTGGCCCATGTTCTTATTCCTCACGTTCCGAATTAGTCCTAATAAATCCGATTATTCCAAATAAGGGTTGTGTCGCAAATTATATGCTCAAAATGTGTTTCAATTGCTTCTATCACATTATGCTCTCCTTCGGGAATGTGTTCAAGTATGGTTTGTGTGTCAAAATGCTATAACTTCAATTCGTGTTTCGAATAAAGGTTATTGTGCCAAATTGTGAAAGAAAATTCAATGTGCTTAAGACTCCTATTGCTCATATACATGTTCAAAGTCTTGGTTCCATATGCTCTTGTTGTTGATAATCTATGATGAAGCTTGAAAATGAAAGAAGTGAATATGCGATATAAAATACGGGCAACGTGCCAAGAATGAGAATTATACTTGTAGCCAATAGTGCCAATGAAATGAAAGAGGATGTGTGAAAATACTATGAAATGAACTGTAACTTCTTTATATAATAAATGATATGGGAGTATCGTTAGCTAACGAGGAAGGGTAGGTTGGAACAACCTAACCCCGCAACTACATGTGCCGGTATAGGTGTGATTGAGGAGTAAATCCCCGTACTGATTTGTTGAGATTGTTTCCCTCTAAATGGGATGAGATGGGTGTATTGAGATTATTTCCCCTTGTTTGGGATGAGATTGTTGCTAACCTTGGATTGGATGTCGACTCACACGGCACATGTAGGAAGATGACCTAGCTGATCGGGTCGAGATCGGACGCCATGCCACACACATGATGGCGTTGTGGTGGGATGTCTTGGGGTCAGACGGCTTAGACGATCGGGCTGAGATCGGACTCCATGATAAAAGCACGGTGGTATTGTGATTGGATGTCTTTGGGTGATATGGCTTAGCCGATCGGGTCGTGATTAAACTCCGTTGTCATGATCCAAACCGATGGGCCGCGACGGGTGCCTGAATCCTACATGTCGAACATCCTTAAGCATGTGTTTAAGATATAAACATGAATAACATACGTGAGGAAAACCTGTACAAAAGATATATATATATATATA